TGAATGTAAATGTCTATATTTGTGCCCATAGGAAAGCTCGTATAAAATGATAAGATGGTTCTTACAGTGTTTGTTTTCTATTACTTGACAAGTCTCTAGCCAGTTTTTCCGAAGTAGGAGATGAGAATTAGTAAATACCTGTCCTTTTGAACTAAAAAGGCAAATAGAATAATCCTGCTCATTAGCTAGAAAGGCTGCCAAGGCATCAGAACAGGGAGAAAAGATTGAGATTCTCTTCCTAAAGCAGTAGAAGGTAAAGCAATTACTGGCTTTCCTCTGAATTAAAGTCATTGTGCTAAAAAGAAGCTTACCTTTTGAATTCCTACTCTGATATTTTTTTCTTTAGGAAATTTTATAAAATCATTAAAACGTGTGCTAGCTGGGCGTGGCACTCTAGAAAGCTGAGGCAGGAGGATTGAAAGTTCAAATCCAGCCTGGATAACTTAGTGACTTACTGAGGCCTTGACTCAAAATTTTTAAAAAAGGTCCAGGGATGTAGCCTAATGGAAATACCCAGGCTCATCCCCAATATTTTACATACATGTGCACACATACACACACACAGACACACAGACACACACAGTATCCTTACACTATTTTTTATGTCTACTTGATCATATACTTAAATCCCAAGTAAAACCAGAAATATAAAAAACTTCAGCTTCCATTGTTATGAGTATCTCCAGTACAAAGGAACATAATGTTTATTAATCTCTAAGTTAAATATAGTAAAAGTTATTTTCACCACCAAGGTGAGATAAAATGCTTCATTCTAATGGGCTGAAGAATGACAAGATGACAAATGTGACCATGTTTGGAGGACACTGTAGCTGCAATACCAAAGACAACAACAAAGTGTTTCATGACAGACTAGAAATAGGATTCTGGGTTACACTGCACTACTGATAACCAGATGTCAAGGAAATGTTTATCTTCTTTTCCCATTATCCTGTAATAAAATAAAAAAAAATCTTAAACTGGGCAATATGAAAATTTAAATGCTATAGATAATATTACATTTAATATTTTTTAAAGTATTAAGAAACTGGATCTGTGATTTTAAAATCTTAAGAGTCACTTAAGGATTGACATTTAGATTAGGTAGAAATCAAAATCAGAGTATAAAATAGCAAAAATGTCCGTGTGACAGATGAAGATTTACTTTATTTTGTGTGCTTGGGATTGAATCCAGGGCCTCGCACATGCTAGGTAACCATGTTTTAAAACGGGATCTCACAAAGTTGACTGAGCTGGCCTCAAACTTGTTATCCTCCTGCCTCAGCTTCCCATATACTGGGATTATAGGAATGTGCCACCATGCCCAGCTGAAGATGTGATTTGATCAGAGCCATAAAAAGAGATGGTAAAGACAAGTAGTTCTGGATTAAATAAATCATGAGGTGACTTCATACATTAAGACAATCAAGATTGGAATAAGTTTCCTATATACAAAAAAATCTTCTCTAAATTAAGCCTGAAGAAAACAACAGTAAGTAGTAAATTGATCCTGATGTGGAAGATGTATCAAAAAAATTAAATAGGCACAGAGAACTAAATTGGGTTAGAATCAAATAAATTAGAAAGTAGGTAAAATTCAGAGATTATCTTTTATTAAATACAACTAACACTTTACTCAGTTTACTCATTTTTATATTTTGTCTCCAAAATCCTTTGTGGAATTAAAATATAAATTTTAATAATTTGGCAATTAACCAAGATTTTATAGTAAGTTAAGCAAAAAGTTAAAATTAATGGCATATTTTTCCAAACATATCTATATCTAATTAACACATTAAATTTTTTTTTTTTGGTACCAGGGATCGAACTTGGGACCTTGTGCTTGTAAGGCAGGTGCCAGAACCACTGAGCTAAATCCCCAGCCCACATTAAATCATTTTATTGAAATAATGCGTAAGAGCCACACTTAAATCTGTATGTATAGTGTAAATACAAGAATGTATGTACCCATAGCAATTACCTAAAATACAAAAAAAAATTATAAAACTATTTTCAAATTTCTCTCAGGCCTTACTGACTTGTTCAACAATAAGATTTCTCCCTTTTTTGCTGCTGTCCTGTAAATGGAACATGCAATCAGCCTCAAGTCATTTTTGGAAAGAAGTTGATATGATTTGTATCAAGATGTCGATACAAATGTCCAAAGCCTCAGGTCAGTGATTGGAGATGGGGCTTTTGGGAGGTGGCTGGATCTAGGGTGTGTGAACATGGTTTATGGGTAATAACTGACTCAGTTTGCTAATTGGATTAGCACAGTTATGGGTGTGGCATAATGGATTTGTTGAAGACAGAAGACCCACCCTGGGTGTGAGTGGCACCAATAGGCTTGTAGCCTGAATGGAATAAAAAGGTGAAGGCAGGGTAGCTGCTTGCTGCTTTTCTGCCTGCCTTGCCATGGACTGTTTCTCCTCTGCCATGCTGTCCTGCCTTGGAGCTAGTTGACTGTGGACTGAAACCTCTACAAACTGTGAGCTAAAATAAACCTTTCCTCTTTTAACTTGTAGGTCTCAGGTATTTTGTCCCACCAAATAAGAAAATAACTAAGATAGAGGTATACTATAAATCTACATAAGTTATACTATAACTTAGTAGCTTATTTTATTTTAAAATTATATAGGTGCTTCTTTGCCAACCACTCTAAATTTGTCCAAATAATAAGTGAAATCTGTGACTATAGTTTTAGAATTTTCAAAACTATGTTTTGGAATGTATGGGTTATAAAGACTTATTAAGACTCCTATTATGGATAACCACATATTCTCCATAATTTACTTTTTTATGTCTTTCTAGTTATCAGTACAGTACAGCTTGCAATTTGGTTGCAACCAGAATCGTGGAATGAATTCTACTGGAATCATGGAAAGAATTACGTTTGTGAACCAAAGTACCACTGTATTAAGTAAATTTTACTCAAGCAGAGGTCTATCAAAATATGCCAAAGAAGAGAAAGATGGTAATTATAAATTCAACAGAACTTCTAAAACATTTTTATATTTCAAGTCACTTTCCAAATTTATAAGTCCATTGGTTTTACTTCCAGAATTTTTAATGTTATTTGGAAAATTGTTTTTTCATAAATGATTAAAGAATGTTTCACTGCAGTGATGAAATACAACAATTTAAAAGGTTACATGAAACAGTAAAATACATATATAACACTCAAAATTCTTTATTTAAAACACCAAGTTATTAAAATGCATAAAAATGACATAGTAAAATGTAATTTTTTCAAAACTCATCACTTTAAAGAAAACATATGACATGGATTAAATATATACAAAATAGGAAATAAATCATCATCTTTCATTAATGGGAAGATTTGCATGTGTTCAAAATAGTCATAATTTTAAGTCAGAAAAATAAAGCATTGCACAGGGGAACACTTCTTTGAAGTCTCTTTACAGGCGCTTTAAATTCCGTTTACTCTGGGCACTTCCTGGGAGGGGATCTTTTCTATTCCTTGGCTTTGCTATTCCTTTACTGCATTCTTCAGACCCGTGATAAGCGCACAGACATAACACACAAAAGTCAAAACCACAAGCTGTGCGGCTACACAGTCCCCTTTTCTTATATGGCTGGTACTTGGCAGGCGACTGGCACCGCGGGCAAGGTTTTAATGCTTCATCAGTAAAAAGTGTCTTGGCGACCTGCAGTAGAAGCACACATAGTCGGTCTCCCTGGGTCATATACAGAAACACTTTATGTCAAATTCTGTAGATATTTATCCTTAGTAACTTATGATAAACACTTACCTTAACATACTCTTCCTGTTTACTGCTTAAGTGGGTGAGTGAAGAGCTTGCCACAGGTATCAAAACTTCTCCCCAAGGAGATAAGGTTGGGACTTGCTCTTTCTGAGTACTGGGTGTCCTAGCCTGTGCTTGCACTGATCTTAAAGCTGCGCGATTTAAAAGACGGAGCCGAGTAGCAGCATCCTCGACATTTAATACAGCCCCCTGTGGTAAAAGTCGAGTCATCAATACACAATAACAAAACACTTCTGAGATAGGACAGCCTTCTGGTGCACATGGATTTAAATGCTTCAATGTGGTTTATACCATCAGAATTTTCTCCCCAGGACCATTGTTTTTTTAGGAAAAAAAGTCTTTTCTCACCTAACATTTGAAAGTCACAGAAATATTTTTAAAAATTGAACAATAAATTGTAACTTGTATGATCAGTTATTTCTCTATTTATTTTAAGCTGTGGTTTGGCAAATGTTTCCTGAAAACAGCCAGATAATAAATATTTTGGACTTTGCAGGCCATATAGTGGCAACTTTTCAAGCTTTCAGTTGTAGAGAAAGCAGTTGTGGACAATAAGTAAATGAAAGAAGGAGGCTGTGTTCCAATAAAACTTACTTTAAAATACAGCTGACAGGCCCCACAGACTGTATGTAGTTTGCAAACTGTTTTAAACCAACATCTAAGAAGAAGCAAATCTTTTGAAAATTTGCCACTGGATGTCATGGAACTCTAAATTTTTTTAAGTTAGCCACTGAGGGACTGATTATGCCTTAAAACCCAATTTCTTTAACTGAGCTTTTGCAAATATCTGGTGCTGATTTATTTTTACAGTAAAGTTTTAAACAGGTTTTTCAAAGGAGCAAAAAAAATCTCATTTGAACTGGATTCCCACATTATTCAAATAATCAGTCAAGAAATATATTACTTAGCTGTGTATACCTTAAAAATATACTATTGCTATTATCAGTTGTACATTAATAATGCTGGAAAAATAAAAATAAAAACAATAAATGTTCAACAATTAATCTTTGTAGCCTTCTATTTTGTTGAGGTTGGTAATGAAAAAACAGTAGTTCTTTTGTTACAGAAAAAATTGACATTCTTAATTTTCAAAATAAAATGTACAATGGAAGAATTTTCTTACATGACCAACTATAATTGTGTTCCCTCTCCCTCAGTAGTCTCCTTTGCCACAGTTAGGCTCTTAACTATGGGGAGAGCTAAAAGACAAGAAATCATAATAGGATAAGTATAGGAAATGAAGTTAGTAGGTCATAAAAAATTACATGGTTAATAGTTTAAATGCATAACAGTAACAAAAATAGGGCTTCAGAAATTAGAATGAAGACAGTTAAACATATTTAAGTTATTCAAGGATAACATACATCTTTCATATTGTATTTGTATAAATGATTTGCAGCCACACTAAAAATAAAAAAACCTCACTGGACTTCTGAGAAGCTGTTAAACATAGTATGCATGCAGGAAAAATGAATAAAGATATGTTGCTGAAGCAAATTTCAGCCACAGAAGAAACAGCCACTCATTTAATAAATATAGGACTGGTGCCAAGTGCATAAAACAGTGTAATCTTCTTGAAGTTTAAAAGGTGTGCTATTTTTTAATAAGAGGCAAAACAGTCAACAAAAGCAAACATTCACGAGTGCCAAAAATCTGCAAACGTAGTTATCATCACATTATCAGAAGATTTCAAATGTAAGAATTCAGTTATTTAATAGCTGTTCATGTCCATTAATATGAGAGGACAGTAAATGAAGAAGTTCATTGTAAAGTGTGGTACTCCGATGCTGATGCTCATTCTCATTGTTCCAAAGCAAACTGATAAAACTGAACTCCTATTATCCATACCTAACCGGTGCTTTCTAATTTCCACGTAGGGGAGCTTTTAATGCCAGTATTCAAGTAATGAAGAAAATCACCAAACAACTTTGTCTTATAATTTTTCTGTTTTGGTTAGTGATACATACATTAGGACTGCTCAGGTAGAAAGTGACCATATCAGAATAGGAAGGCACAGGACCTTAGGAAGAAAGAAGGAACAGGTAGAATACCTGATTTGTTTGGGTTTACACGGAGGAGACTTTCAGTTCTGGTGGACAATAGGAGATAAATCAGGTATCTGTACAGAGAAACACTAAGAAAATGAGAGAAGGGGGAGCAATTAACAAAAGTTACACAGGAAAGAAAGTGTAGGCATAGTGTACAAGTCATAATACTCTCAATACAGTCTCAATGATGTCATGATCTAATTCACTCCCAAATTGTGGTGTAATTACAGTCTTAAGATGGGAATAGGGAAAAGAATTCAGGGTGGGGTGGGGTGTAGGGAAGTCACGGAAGTAGTAGTGAGAGGTGATTAGAGAACTAATTCCCCTCTGGAAAAAAAATAAACATCAGTTATGAATTTTATTTGGAAATACAGTAAGGAAATAAAGACTACAAGAAATGCTAAAGAAAGTTGTCTTGATGAGGAAAAAATTGAGAGTAGGAAGGGATAACAGGGCAAAAGAAGGGTGTGTTTCATCATAAGCCTCATAATCCAATTTCACTTTTTAAACAATGTACTTGTATTACTTTGAAAGAGTTTTAAAAAGCAAAACAAAATTTAAAAAGTAAAACAAAAAATATGGACATTTAAGAAATCAAGGTTTTGGGCCGGGGATTTAGCTCAGTGGTTCTGCCGCCTGCCTCTCAAGCACAAGGACCCGAGTTCAATCCCTGGTACCAAAAATAAAAAGAAATCAAGGTTTTAAAACTGATAGCTCAGGTAGGAGAATACAACATTTTATCCAGAATTATCTGAGAGTTTGCTAACACATCCACATTACTTCTTTAGAGGAGTTAAGCAGTATATGAGGCTAAAAGTTAAATATTAATAGGTGCTTGGTTAAAAATAGTTTTCCTTTTAGGTCTGTCCCCAGTATATAGAGCATCACTCTAAAAGGAAGGCAGTTAATCTTAATAACTTCACTGGTAGGAGCTCCCAGGGCCAGCAGCTACATTAGTAAGTGGCCAGGAGCTCTGAGTAAGTCGTAAGGAAACATCACAGAAGAGAACATGAAACTTTTCTTCAAAGTTTTTGTTAATAGGAATCTGTAGTACGTCCCTGAAATGAAAAACCTACCAATCTGAATTTAGTTGTTCACATTTGTTTATGCCATGCTTTCTCTCAATTTTTATATTCAGTCAAATTAACAATGTACTTTAGTATGGTATTAAATACTTTATATTATAACAAAAATAAAGTACCAGTTTCTCTTGGCATTGATGCCCAAGGTCAAAAGTTGAATCTACAAGCAATACGAGTGGGAGTCATCAGATGTCATTTACACAAAGCAGTGTCCTTGTGAGGAGTCCATCAGCTTTTATAGGACTTTTCCTGTAACTTCAAAGTCAGCACTCAGATCCTCAGAGGAGTACAAGTTTATCATGCATCACAAATGCCTACTGCCAAGCTCACCCACCTCCAGGGCTCTACACATGCTATTTGCTGTGCTGAAATACCCTTTCCCCTTCACCTAGCTAACTGCACTACCTCATTGTTCAGGTCTCAGCTAAACAATGCACTTCTCATGATTCCCAAGTATTGGCCCAATACTCCTTTTAACTGTCCTGTAGAACTCTGGGTTTCCCCTAACACCCTATGGTCCAGTCACCCATTTACTTGTATGACCCAGGGGAAGAGCTCCAAGGGAGCAGGGACCATGTCTGAAATGTCATCATTGTCATCCAATCGATTGGCACAGGTGCTGTAACAGGCACTCAAAAGACTGAATAAAAATGCAATAAGGATATATAATTATTACTAGGATCCAGCAATATCATTGATATTCAACTATTGTCCACAGCAAATCTGCGTAAACAGTAACAAAACCCAACAAGATGGTCATGGTGCTCAGTAGCCTATGCCATTTTATATATATAGATGGAAATGGGGTTTGGAAAACAGAATTTGCTAAATGGAAAAAGTTAAAAGATAACAAAGAAACGTAATTAGGTTGTTCAGCAATATGGGATTATTAGATATTTATTAAAATGCACTTTAGAAATGCATTATATACATTACCTCAGAATTTGCTTTCAGTTGTGTAATATAACATTTCCTCCTCCGATTTGCTTTTTTATCTTGAACAACAATTTCACACCAATTTCTGCTGACTTTCCAAACACTAAAAGAAAAAGATCAGTCCTTACATTGCATGTGTTCCCAAAGATTATCATTTTGTATATGGTCATTAATAAGAAAAACTTGCTTTAAAGATTTTTGGTCACTAAATTTAAACTAAGAATCTTCATTAAAATATGACTTGAGCAATATCGTTTTTCATATTGATTCACTATATGAAAGAATTTCTATTAAAATATCAAGTCTATTCTAGCATTATTTTAACAGGTCACTATTTTATAAATGGTCGTATAAAGCCCAAGTGAGTCCACTGGGAGATGAAGATAATATGACACTAAGATTACAAATTTGAAACACAACATGCAGCAAATGATTATCATCTGTAGCACAAGAATGTTAAATTCTTTTCTCCTTTTTTTTTTTTTTTTTTTTGGTGCCAGGGATCGAACTCAGGTCCTTGAGCTTGCAAGGCAGGTGGCGGAACCACTGAGCTAAATCCCCGGCCCCTTTTCTCCTTTTTTAGAGGGGTGGTACTGAGGATCAAACCCAGGGCCTTTGCACTGAGTTACATCTCCAGCCCTTTCTGTATTTTTAGACAGGGCCTCCCTAAGTCACTAAATTGCCCAGGCTGGGTTGGAACTTGCAGTCCTCTTGCCTCAGCCTCCCAGAGGGCTGGGATTGCAGGAGTAGGCCACCAGGCCCAGCTTGTTTTCTTCTATTACTGTATTTAACAAATCTCTGTCATTTTGACTAACTAAATATAAAAACAATTGATCCTTCATTGAAACTATTAATAAATACAATTATGGGTAGCACTACAAAGTTCCTATTTTATTCACCAAAGTTTATGAGAATGAAATAGCTAAAGACAAGACAGTTTTAATCCAGTGATTGGTTATCAATAACTTCAACTATATTAATAATGAAATCAAAAATAATCCTTCAACTGTTAATCTTGTCTTTTTTATTATTCTCATTTAATAAGTCACTTAAAGGGGAAAAGGTCAGAACACTGAAAAAAATAAAAAGCCACTTGTTTTGGAGGGCCCAGGCAATACTTGAGTTGTCAACACTATTATTTCTTCTGCTGCTGCAGCGGCCTCTTCGTTGCCACTGCCTCTCTCTGAGCCAGTATAGGTACCTTACATCAGACAGAGGAAACAGGCACAAAGTCAGCCATTAATGGGGAAACGAATGACACAATTGGGTATTCTCCAATTTTAACTGATTATCATCCCTTACGTTACCAAAAACAACACTGCTAATATTATAAATACATGTTCCGCATTATAAACACTGAATTCGGAGGGTGGACAAGAGGGGACATTTTGAAACATGACTATTAGCTGTTCATGCCTATAAGCACACTAAGGTGAAGAAGGGTTTTGGAAGGAATTACCATAGCTGGGCCTGGTAGTGCACACCTGTAATCCCAGCTACTCAGGAGGCTGAGACAGGACTGCAAATGTGGAGCCAGCCTGGACAATTTAGTGAGACCCTGTCTCAAAAATAAGGGGCTGTAGCTCAGTGCAAAGGCCATAAATTCAATTTTTAAAATAGTGGCTATAAAAAACAGCAACCAAACTCTTGACATATTCCCATTAAGAGGACCTGCACATTCTCCCCGCTGCCACCACCTTCCAGAAACTGGGTTCCACCTGACTTTCCTCTTTCCTGGCCATGGCATTCCTGAGGGTCTTGTCTTCTGATAGTCCTCCAATTCCTCCACGTCACCAGCAGGAGGGGTCTTACAAGTTTTCGTAATCCCAGCCCTGACCCCCATTCTCCTAAATGTCTCACCTAATTTCTCTTTAATTATGAATATTTGTGAACACAAATTCTTCAGTTTCTAATTTCCCAAAAGTACTTAATTGCCTCTTCTGTGTTAATAATAAAAATGGAATAACATATTATTTTGGTCTCTAGAAAGACTGAAAGCAAACCAGTATTCTTGGATTCTAGAACTTGGATTAAAGAATTGAATGGTATTTAATATATGTGGTCACTTCTCACTCACCACAATGCTATTATTTCTGAACAAGTGTCATAACTTTTAGACAATTTGGATCTGACAAAGCATGTGAACTCTTAAATACATTATTAAGCACTCTGGAATAAACCTTGCCATCTTAAAAATTTTAAGTTCAACTTTTAGGAACTCTCATTCCAAATGACAGTAATAAGAATTTTATCCAGAAAAAGACTGTCATTGCTTCTAAAGCAGGCTTTTAAGCAGGAGGGACTATGCTAGCAAGCTCTCCGGGGAAGGACACTTAAAATTTTTTTTTCCTTAGTACCAGGGATCTAACTCAGGACTTTGCACTTGCAAAGCAGGCACAGCACCATTGAGCTAAATCTCTGGCCCCATAACTATTTTAATATAATGTAAGACAACCAAAGATAGAAATAATTTTTTTTAAATGGGACAATCACTCAAATTATAGAAAAACCTTCCAACTTAAAAAATGATAAAAGTTTTATTTCATACCTGTATAGGCTCTCTGCAGTCAAGAAATCTAAAACCATAGTAAGGATATGCTTTAAATTTCTATATTTTAATTCTGACAAGATGTCCAGTTGTTCTATACCCATCTTCTTGCCAATCAGTCCAGCAAGCGCACACTGCAGTACAGCTATTTTCCCCCCATCCCTTTCTTCTAAGAATTCATTGGTATTCTTTCCCTGGAATCTTTTCCTTTTGCTTTTCATAAAGAGTTCGTGCACTAATTGCAAGGCTGGGGTCTTTGATAAATTCTTAAAGCTTAAAGTCAAATCCCTACTCTTACTATCAGTGCTCGGCTGACTCTCCAAGATGTCTGTAGCAGCCGCTGGTCTTGTTTCAGAGTTGGGGTGGATGACCTGCTTTTCCTCCTCTGTCTCTGACTGTGAGCTTTGCTCCCGAAGAGTGGACAGTCTTCTTGACCTGCCAAGACGCCCTGATTTTCTTATGGTATCTCCCACATTGTGAGTTCCTTTATATTTCTGAAGTAGTTCTTGAAAAGAACCCTCCTGATCAGAGAAGGAATCTTCTGACTTATCCAAGCTCAGTGAGTTAAAACCACTGTCTTCAGGAGTGGAAATATTGCCTCTCACCTCAATTGAAGGAGAAAGTGTTTGACTTGCAGCAAATTTAATGTTTGCTGCAAAATTACTTACTGGAGTCACAAATATGTCTTCATCTCTTCTATATGTTGTTCTACTACCAGAGGAGCCCAGAAGCTCAGGATATGTATTTTCATCATTAACACTTAAACTGCTATCACTAAAGTCATGTGTGATTGAATCTTTAAAATTATTGCCCTGAATTGGAGATATACATTCAACTTCAAATAGGCTACCATCATCTTTGGAATCATCAACTGTGGAAGTCTTGTGTTGAGAAAAATTTAGTCTTAAATTTTGACGGCTAGAAATCACTTCTTCTGTTTTTACACTGCTAGTAACTAAAGGGCTAAAGTTATTTTGCCTTGGAAAACCCGAAGCACTGTTAGGAATACATTTTTCCAAGTTGAGAACTTGGCTTATACTACTTTGAGAACTGTTTTGTGATTCAAAGTCTTTCTTTAGAAGAGAGAAAGATACATCTAACCTTCTGCGCAGTAAAGATTTTTTTCCACCAATTTTAGGAGTTTCACACAGTTCTGGGGTCTTATCCTTTTCCTTCCTAGGGAAGACAAATTTATTTCTTTGAGTAGGAGACTCTAGGGAATGTATCGAGCCCAGGTCTGAAATTTCAGGGTGTTTGTGGATTAACATTGGGTCCTTTTCTTGCTTTCCAAAAAATTCTTTATCTGTATTATCAAAGCTGCAAAATTTTGACAACTCATGATGGCCACTATCTTTAAAGGAAGATGTGGAACAAAAATCTCTGAGGCTGGAGTACTTGAACTGGACAGGAGAGCTCGCCTCACTTCCTCCTCCAGGGCTGGCTGAGTGCCTTTGCGACATCTTCAAACTCTGTGGTTCTGAAAAGTAAAACATTTTATTCTTCTTTTGAAATGAGTAGCCAGGCAGCTTTCTCCAAAAAACATTATTTGTTTGAAATATAAATAATAATGGAAAATTAAGAAGAAAAGAAAAAGAAAAAAAGTAATGGAAAAGTGACAATTTTTAAAAAATTACTTTAAAAACAAATCCATCCCACAATATACTATACTGTTGTATATCCTACTTAAAATAACTTCTTTTTAAAATTAATTTTATTGGTACATTTTAGGTATACAATATAATGACATTCATCATTGAGTATTTTTACCTTTACATAATATATCTTGGCTAAAACAACTTCTTAACATAATAAAACCAAAACTTTCAGATTACTTGACTAAACTATAGGACAAGTACCATGCACAAATATTTTCTTGGACTACTCTTTAAAAAATATCTAGCAGATTCATTTTTAGATTATTTTATGACTTTAAAAGCATGTAATTTTAGTTTAATATTCTGGATTATTCTTCCTGGGGTATATTAGTAAGGTAGAAATGTGCTTTATAAGTTCTAGGATGTAAATAATACTACTTAAAAATATATGCTACTCTCTAAACAGGGCTTTGGGAAATGTATCAAATAATGAGGGTGAGCATACGTATGACTAGGCCTGTTGCAGAAATCCAGTACCTTATGGCCATTCACAAGGTTTGAATTCTCAGTCTTCTATTCTTACGAAGACTCTTTGGCTCACTGATAAATTACTGACATATTCTACTTGACCTAACTCAAATGAACTACTATGCCTTAGAATGTGGGGTCAATTTAAACCCAGCACATTGTGCTTATTTATGTCTCAATTTCTAAATACTTTAGTGTCCTACTACAGGCTTGAAATCACAAATAATAGGCAGCTATTTGTAGGAAAACCACCCTTTGTAATACTACATTGAAAATAAGGAATTCAAGTCAATTTCTTAAAGAACAATTACTCTGCAATTACATGAATAAGGAATTACATTAGGAAATATTTTACTCAATTTTTTCAACAGTATTGTTATGTTTTTTAGAGAAACGAATTAAATCTTTCTTCATATAAGAAAGTCATTGTTTTTGATATTTCTCCAGATTATTCAATGACCATTAATAAAATTATCTTTCACTTAAATTTTTCTCCAGGCTAAATGCATAGATTTTCTTCATTGAAAGATCCTGAGAAGATATGTTTTAGTTGACTTCAGTGGGATTATAATCTATGCCTATGTTACACAGGTTAAATACATGAGTGAGCATGTTACAAAGGGAAATTGCAGTACTAAACACAAAATTATTTCTTCATGGCATACTGATCATTAGAAGATCATTTTATCTGCCAGGGATTTAACTCAGTGGTTTTGCCGCCTGCTGCACAAGCACAAGGACCCGAGTTTGATCCCCGGTACCAAAAAAAAGATCATTTTACTGAAGAAAGTATCTAACTTTTCACACTTCTATTTCTTTTCAATAAATCTCACACATGTTCCCTTGTGGTCACACTTTTGCACTTGTTTAGGAGCCAAGATTACCAAATTTTACTTCCTACAATTTGCATTTAAAAATTTTTGCCGTTCAGATATTAGATTAATAAGGTATAATGTATTCAAGTTAAATCTCCATCCGCGAATCTCTGCCTCTTCTCCGAATCATTCTGTGCACCACCGTGCTCGGCATTCTATTAAATAACAATTTTCACTCAATTTGCTAAGAATAGGTCGTTTTAAATTAAACAAATTTTACTATTCGGCTACTTCACCACTAGGTGTCTCATTATGCCAGTATTTGGAAGACGGGGCAAATTGTTGGAAACAAAGTAGGGATGCAGATATCTCCTCCCCTAAAGACTATAGGCTTTCTCTGGTTTCACTTTTAACTTTCGACTAACTCAAGGCGTTGGTCTCAAAACCTGGTTCGTTAAAACTGAATCTGGAAATTATTCACGCGAAAATCTGTTGACTTATTTTACTGATTCGACACTTGACTGATGAACCAGGTAAACCTCTTTGATAATCATCTTTAAAAACCAGGCTCCTGATAAAGGACTCAAAACACGTATATCTAAAGGCTTCCTTTTTTTTAAGGGGAGGGGCCTATTAAATCAGAGAATGGAAACATTTAACTACGTTCAATCCAAATTTCCTTCATTTAAGTGAAAAATCTTACCATCCGTAAATGTTGAGCTCTTAGATGTCAAAATTAGGTAGTCTTCCAAAAACAAAGAAAATCTCTCATGCTTGCTTTTAAAATTCACGCCAAACTAATGCCACTTAAAAACTTCCGTTTGGAACTATTAATTGAAAAGTGCAGCCACCCATGAGGGCCAAGACTGGGAGAGAACCTAAAACCCACGCTGCAGGGGTCATGCCTAACACTCGCAAAGGCCTGAGCTCTTCATTTTGAACCTCCTTACTCTCAACGCCCTTGTCCTCTGCACCCAGCCTTGGGAACTAGTGAACCCCACATTCGGGCTTCTGGAGGGGCGGTGGGCGGGTAACGGTTCCGCGGCCGGGACCGTGGACGTCGAGGGCGGCGCCTGAGAAGCCGCTACCGCACACACCTGGGCAGGCTCCGCGCACCTGGAGGCGGGCGGTTGGGCGGGCTGAGGGCCAGGCGGCCCCGGCAGGGAGCTCAGGGAGGAGGCTCGCTTCGCTCCCGGAGACCAGAGCTGTGGTAACCCACACCCAGATCCACTCAGGGCCGCAGCCTTTGCCTTGTTCCGTTTGAACTGCCCGCCTCCGGTAACCGCCCCGCCCCTCCCGCCCCGCCCC